GTTTTGGTATCAGGGTGATGGTGGACTCATAGAATGAGTTTGGGAGTGTTCCCTCCTCCTTTTTTGGAAGAATTTGAGAAGGATGGGTGTTAGCTCTTCTCTGAATGTTTGATAGAATTCACCTGTGACACCATCTGATCCTGGACTTTTGTTTGTTGGAAGATTTTTAATCACAGTTTCAATTTCATTACTTGTGATTGGTCTGTTCATATTTTCTGTTTCTTCCTGGTTCAGTCTTGGAAGGTTATACCTCTCTAAGAATTTGTCCATTTTATTGGCATAGAGTTGCTTGTAAGTAGTCTCTTAGGATGCTTTGTATTTCTGCACTGTCTGTTATAACTTCTTCTTTTTCATTTCTAATTTTATTGATTTGAGTTCTCTCCCTCTTTTTCTTGATGAGTCTGGCTAATGGTTTATCAGTTTTGTTTATCTTCTCAAAGAACCAGCTTTTAGTTTTATTGATCTTTGCTATTGTTTCCTTGGTTTCTATTTCATTTCTTTCTGCTGCTCTGACCTTTATGATTTCTATCCTTCTGCTAACTTTGCGTTTTCTTTGTTCTTCTTTCTCTAGTTCCTTTAGGTGTAAGGTTAGATTGTTTACTTGAGATTTTTCTTGTTTCTTGTGGTAGGCTTGTATAGCTATAAACTTCCATCTTAGAACTGCTTTTGCTGCATCCCATAGGTTTTCGATCATCATGTTTTCATTGTCATTTGTCTCTAGGTAGTTTTTGATTTCCTCTTTGATTTCTTCAGTGATCTCTTGGTTGTTTAGTAATGTATTGTTTAGCCTCCATGTGTTTGTGTTTTTTACGTTTTTTTCCCTCTTATTAATTTCTAATCTCATAGCATTGTGGTCAGAAAAGATGCTTGATATAATTTCAATTTTCTTAAATTTACTGAGGCTTTATTTGTGACCCAGTATGTGATCTATCCTGGAGAACGTTCCGTGCGCACTTGAGAAGAAAGTGTAATCTGCTGTTTTTGTATGGAATGTCCTATAAATATCAGTTTAATCTATCTGGTCTGTTGTGTGATTTAAAGCTTCTGTTTCCTTGTTTATTTTCATTTTGGATGATCTGTCCGTTGGTGTAAGTGAGGTGTTAAAGTCCCCCACTATTATTGTGTTACTTTTGATTTCCTCTTTTATAGCTGTTAGCAGTTGCCTTATGTATTGAGGTGCTGCTATGTTGGGTGCATATATATTTATAATTGTTATATCTTCTTTTTGGATTGATTCCCTTGATCATTATGTAGTGTCCTTCCCTGTCTCTTGTAACATTCTTTATTTTAAAGTCTATTTTATCTGATATGAGTATAGCTAGTCCAGCTTTCTTTTGATTTCCATTTGCATGGAATATCTTTTTCCATCCTCTCACTTTCAGTCTGTATATGTCCCTAGGTCTGAAGTGGTCTCTTATAGACAGCATATATGTGGGTCTTGTTTTTGTATCCATTCGGCAAGCCTGTGTCTTTTGGTTGGAGCATTTAATCCATTCACGTTTAAGGTAATTATTGATATGTATGTTCCTATTACCATTTTCTTAATTGTTTTGGGTTTGTTTTTGTAGATCCTTTTCTTCTGTTGTGTTTCCCACTTAGAGAAGTTCCTTTAGCATTTGTTGTAGAGCTGGTTTGGTGGTGCTGAATTCTCTTAGCTTTTGCTTGTCTGTAAAGCCTTTGATTTCTCCATCGAATCTGAATGAGATCCTTGCCAGGGCGAGTAATCTTGGTTGTAAGTTATTCCCTTTCATCACTTTAAGCATGTCATGCCACTCCCTTCTGGCTTGTAGAGTTTCTGCTGAGAAATCAGCTGTTAACCTCATGGGAGTTCCCTTGTATGTTATTTTCCATTTTTCCCTTGCTGCTTTCAGTAATTTTTCTTTGTCTTAATTTTTGCCAATTTGATTACTATATGTCTCGGCATGTTTTTCCTTGGGTTTATCCTGTGTGGGACTCGCTGCACTTCCTGGACTTGGGTGGCTATTTCCTTTCCCATGTTAGGGAAGTTTTTGACTATAATCTCTTCAAATATTTTTTCTGGTCCTTTCTCTCTCTCTTCTCCTTCTGGGACCCCTATAATGCAAATGTTGTTGTGTTTAATGTTGTCCCAGAGGTCTCTTAGGCTGTCTTCATTTCTTTTCATTCTTTTTTCTTTATTCTGTTCTGCAGCAATGAATTCCACCATTCTGTCTTCCAGGTCACTTATCCGTTCTTCTGCCTCAGTTGTTCTTCTATTAATTCCTTCTAGTGTAGTTTTCATTTCAGTTATTGTATTGTTCATCTCTGTTTGTTTGTTCTTTAATTCTTCTAGGTCTTTGTTAAGTATTTCTTGCATCTTCTCGATTTTTGCCTCCACTCTTTTTCCAAGGTCCTGGCAGGCGGATTCTTGACCCCTGCACCACCAGGGAAGCCCAGGAATGAATTTTTATAAACAAGATCTACAATGAAAGGGAAATGACATGTTGATACATAAAAGTTTTGTTAAACAAGATTTTAAAATTTTTAAATCAAAGTGTTTTAGACTAAATTCTTTCAAATGTTCAAACGAAAGCAAAAAGCAACCTGTACAGTCTCCATAATAAAATGTGTCCTTGTACACTTGTCCTGGGCACTTTGAAAATGTCATAATTTTAGAAATTTGAGTGATAGAGGCAGCACTTAAAGGTTTTGTGAACCTTTTTTTCCCAAAGAAGAATACTTTCGGTAAAACACTTTTCCATTTTATCTGACTATGCATTTACATTTTTGTTCTTCCAGAAAAAGATTTACATTAACACTGTATTTTTACTGTAAAAAAATGCATTTAGAGATATTTAACTTCCTGAGTGACTTCAGTCATACATCGAACATGATTTAATGAGCAAATTCTAAAATTTTATAATGAAATAGCAAGTGTAGATGTATACCTGTATGCTCACTTACGATAAAACTCAAAATCCTGTCACAGAACTTACACTTAAGTTCTGTAAGAAGTTAAATAATATGATTTATCCCCAGACTTGACCAAAAGGTTTTCTCAAATGTTAGTAAAATGCATCACTGAATTTACATTTTCTCATTTATTAACAAAATACTGAGTCATTTCAGGCTGTCAACTTGAATGTTTTCCATTATATACACCAAAAATCTGATTCCCTAACAAGAAACTTCTTGCAGTACAAAAAGATAACAGATAATTAAACTATTTGCTTCATAATACAACTTATCGATATAATACATCCGTTCCTCAATTGTCTAAAATGATTAGGAATTGTAGCACTTTCTTTTGCATAAAACCCTTTCCTCTTCTTAAAACCCTGAGGTGAAAGGTTATTAATGTAATAAAACTAGAGCCACAATTCTTCTTATTTCTGTATTGGACTGCAGTTAGGTTTAAAAAATTTTACAAAGAAATGTGGCAACTTGTAACGCTGCTCTGTAGAGTTTTTTTAAGAAAACATTCCCAGAAACAACTTAACAAAAAGGGCCTATAAAGACCCTATGAAAACATCCTTTTAACACTTGTTAGCGTCAAGATGAGCGCCATTTTCCATCTCTACCACTGTCTCTTCTGTTATTATAGTCATGGCTCCAGCCATTGTGATTTCTCTCTTCATAGAAGAAATCACCTCTGTTTCCTCTGTAATGATGGTTGGACCCGTGATCAGTGTAAAGCTGTTCACGGCTATAATGTCTATCCACTATGTAGGGATGAGAATTCTGTCTGACTTTTCGCCATGATAATGGTGTATCTTGGCGCCACTGGGAGGTTGAAGACTGGTTAAAAGTATGATTATGTGACTGAACTGATGGGAAAAATCCTGGTTGATCCAGATGTGGAGAACCAAATTTCCCTCCATATGACATCTGTCTCAAAACACTGTTCATCACTGCTTGTCTCTGAAAATTTTCTGAAGAAGAAAAAGATCTTTGAATTATCGGTGCTGATGGAGTCATGTTATCCACTGTCCTTTCATACCTGCTAGGAGATGTGGAAGTAGGGCTTGAACTTCCAACACGATGCTGGGGATATGACAAACTGACCTCCTGTGAGGCATGGCTACTTCCTGATCTAAACTGAATTTTGATGGGCCTTCCAAAAAGTTTGATTCCGTTAAGCAGATTTATGGCATAAGGAAGAGATACTTCATGTTTGAAATTCACAAATGCAAACTGCTTTGGTTTACCATCCTTATCTTTTGGAATTTTCACTTTTATTACTGGCCCAGCCTGGTGGAAAAGCTCGAAAAGCAGCTCCTCTGTCACTTTCGTTTCAAGGTTGCCCACAAAGAGAGTACGATCCGCTTCGGCTGCCACTGCCCCCATCTCAGCATCGCCCCCTCCCGAAAAAGCGGGGTCAGTCTTGACTCCTCATTTTATCTGAGCACTTCTCCAGTCTCATCTAATCCAGTCCAATCCAATCCAATCCAATCCAGTCAATGTCATCTAACCCAGTGCAGTGCTACCAAGGTTGGCCATTCCACCTTCTAAGTATACACCCCCCCCAACATCCTTCAGTGCATACACCCCACACCCCTTTTGCTCTGCTAAGACCCTAATCCAAGCTACCATCACCTCTTGAGTAAACTGCTGCAGTTCCTTCTAACTGGTCATACTGCATTCACTTTTGAACACCATCTGGCAATTTGCTACCTGACTGCAAGCGTGATCTTTTAAAGTTTTCCTTAGTTTCTCTGTGTCTCTGTTTCCTTATCTGTAAAATAATGATAGCCCTTCCCTCATAGATTTGTTGTGAGGATAAAAAGAATTATTATGTTAAAATACTGAGAATAGTGCCAGGCAGTAAGACCTCAGTAAATTGTTATTGAGACCTTACACAGTGTTGCATTAAGCCAAGTAAAAGGTATGATTACGACAGAAAGGAGTTTATTAATAATAGATTTGAATGGAGTAATTATTAGCTCGTTTATACTTAATTGTGCTATATGTGTTCACATAAAAAATCTGCAACTCTTATAATGCGTGACCTTATTATGTGTAATTTTTTTCTTAATTAAAAGGCTAAGAAGCACCAGGCTTTTCTGGTAGAGACCTGTGAAAATAACGTGAAAGAGTTGGAATCAATCTTGGACAGCTTTTCTGTGTCTGGCCAGTGGACATCAGGTTAGTTGAAGGTATGAAATGACAGATGCATCTGTCAATGTTCCAAAGTCACTGCATTTTGGGAATTCTGCAGATGCCTCTTATAGTCCCTCATCTCAACATGTTTTGATTTGATGACATGATAAGAGCAGTTCTCACAGCAGTCAGTTGGCCTAGCTGGCTAAGAAAGGGTGATGGACTGTGGACCTGCTGTTGTCCTCCCAGAACTTGATTTACAAGTGTTGGTGTCTGTATGATTGGACAGACAAGGGCTCACTTGCTGTGTTCTGAATCCAACTGAGAAAAAAGTCCTTACAGTATACCTGCAAGGGGAACAGATGTTTCCATCAAACTGAGCCAAATTCTGAGGCAACCTTCAGCAACTTAAAGGTCATGCATTCAAAAGGTTATGTAGGACACAGGCTGTAACACAGTGCATATTCTACACTATTGCTTTCTAGGCTGGTTTTCTCCTTGATTTCCTACTACCGTATACATACTCTCCAGATAAAAGTGCTTAGGTAAAATGTTTCGGTTTTAGTATTAGCCCACTTAATATGATAAAGAACTATAAAGATTGTATATTGGTTAGGCATATTTTGGGAACTAGGAAAAGCATTAGTTGGCTAATGAGTTCCGTCCATTCCATGGTTTCTACTTCCTTAATTTTTTTGTGTGTGTGCCATTATGTGTGCTATAGTAGCTTTGACTTAAATACTTTCACTTTTCTACCTGTTTTCTTTTGCCATACTGTCAACCTCAAATTATTTAGTTGCTTTCTAACTCAGTTATATTTTTCAAAAAAGCATATAAAATTCAATTCCTTACACCTTAAAATAGCTTGAAGACTCTGTTTTTCTAAAGGAATCAAACAGATATTTGGCAAATGAGTTCTTTAGGAAACACTTAAGTTCAGGAAAGTTTGTTGTCCTCAAAAAAGCAGAAAGATATGAACACGGCCTGTTTTCACATTATGGATCTGCAGATTTCTGTTGGTGAACCATTGGAAATTTAGTGTGATTTGCTATTATCTATTTTTAACTTTGTTTTTATTTAAAGTTTTTCTAAAAGCATTAGTGTTTCATGGTTTGTTACTGTGGAAAAATCAAGGTGTATACAAGTGACATAAAAATATAGATATCCACTTTTTAATTGTATTTGCTAAATAAAGCTTTGGAGTATAAAATTTTCTTTTGCAGTGGTACTGTTTTATTATTGACATGTGTCATTGTTTAATGGTTTTAGGATCTTTAAAAGTTGTTAAATTGTTATCATAGCATATCTTAATGCTTCAATATTCAGAGCTGAATTAGAAAAGCTAAGAATAATGAGGTCATGTCTCCTTTGAGGTTTAAAATTAGTTGATAATAAAGCAACTCATTAGTTATTACTAAACCTATAGAAAAAGAATTATCTGCAGTGGAAGTGCAGAGTCTTAACCATTGGACTGCCAGGGAAGTCCTAGTAACAATCATTTTTGAATGTCCTAGTTTCCCATATATATATGCACATCCTATATATTACAGAGAAAGTGTTCCTGGGAAAGGGACTGTGTGCTGAATTAGTGATTTTTATACTGTTATAGTGGTCTTTGTTTCCATATTGTGCTGGTTATTCACTTTTTTTTTTTTTTTTTTTTTTTTTTTTGCTGTACGCAGGCCTCTCACTGTTGTGGCCTCTCCCGTTGCGGAACACAGGCTCCGGACG